GGTTTACTGCTGCTCCATCTCCCCCGACTGCAGCATGCTGTGCTCTGCAGCTGGAGAGAAGTCGGTAAGGCTCGGACATTGGGTGCCATTTCCTCTGTTGCCAGAGTCTAGCAAGACCTGGAGGTCTGAACGGGCCTTATGTGTGAGAGGGCAAATAAGCCCAGTGCCTCACAATCCATCTGCAAACCAGCTCTAACAGAAGGCATGCTTATGGGCCAGCACCTCCTTCTGCTCTCTTTTGATTTGCATTTTGACATAAACCAAAAGAGAGGAGGTGTTTAAGTAGATGGATTACTCTCATCACTGGAGATGGGCTGTTTGTTTGCCTTTATAAAATAATAAAACTGTGCTTTGTAAATTTCTTTTCCCCTTGGAGTCTCAGCTTTTTAAAAAAAATTTTGGAGTCTCAGATTCTAGAAGTTGTAACCCATATCTCTGTTCAGATTTCCCTCTGAACAATTTAATTAGAATCTGTGTAATTTGGATTTCCATTTCAAATCAAAATGGATGGTTACTTAGTTGAACGGTGTTCTGACGTCTGTTATTTAAGAAAGTGTTAGAAACTCAAGAACAATTTGGAAACAGTTTGTGTAAATTTTACATCTATGTTGAGCTGTTTGCTGTGACTAACTCGGGAAAGTTGAGTTCACTATGTGGTACAGCCCAGGTGGTTAATCATTTATTTAGGGTTTGGAACGACGTGGAATCGAGTTTAAAGGGAAGAAAATAAGATCTCATTTTTAATGATTCTCAAAGACCTTTCAAGTGATGAACCACGTCAGATCGTATGTACAGTTGTAGGGCAGATTTCCACCATTCTGTAAACACATGGTGTAAAATGTACTGGCAAGGTGCCACTGCTTTGTTGGGAGCCCTGGAGCTCACCTGACCCCTATTTTTGGTTTTAACTGAAAGGACAAGATAGTTCTTGGCTTGAGTCTTCATCAGCACACACTGTGATTTTGCAAACAGGGCTCAGAAGCAAAACTCAGAAATCTAATGGTACATTTTGGCAGGTGGTCTTCCCAAGGTTGGCTGGGTTTATTCTCCCTCAGAGCAGGCTCCTTGAACATGTGTATTGGTTGGGTGTCTCAAGAATTCAGACCTATTCCTTTACCTTAACCGCTGTGATGCATTCTGGGAGAGCTATACAAAAGTGGAGAGCTTGGCTTCACCTGGCCGTGCGTGGGGTCTGACGTAGGCATTGCTATGTCCTTTCACTCATTGTTCACATTCTAAGCATTTTATTGCCACCCTTAACCAGGCACCTATTCCTTTCCACAGGTGTTTCTATGGAGCATGCGATCCTACACATTAATCCGGAAGCTAGAGGGCCACCAAAGCAGTGTTGTGTCTTGTGACTTCTCCCCTGACTCCGCCTTGCTTGTGACGGCTTCTTATGATACCAATGTGATCATGTGGGACCCCTATACTGGCGAGAGGCTGAGGTTTCTCCAGTAAGGATGGAATCCCTGCTGATGACTTTCTTGGGCACGGGGTCGGGGTGACTGATGAGAAAGCTGCCTTGGGTTAGGCACGGCCCTCGTAGAGTCCGGGGCAGGGAAGGGGACAGCCTGGGTAAGAAGCACTGTGCATTCAGTGCTGCTTCTGAGACAGTGGCATGCAGTGGCACTCCTTTGTCACTTATGTTCTCAAATCAGACCCAAGTGCCTTCGAGGCTACCAGTATAGGAGGCTCTGTGTACTTCTCTGGATTCAGTGATAATGAAACCTCAAAATGACTGTTTCTTTCCATTTACTAATAACTGTAGTAGCAAGTTCAGAATGATCCTCTTACTGAAACTGGTATTTCCAAAATGAATTTTCATGTTCTCTCAAACTTGGGTCTTTTTCCTCTCTGTTGTTTTCTGAAGCAAATAATAGGTAGTCCTATAATTATCATGTATCTTAGCTGAAAAAAGACTTTCAGTTTGTACTGTGGCATTAAAGTGAGGGCTGACCTACTTTGCGTAAGGAAATTAGTACAGGGAGTGTGACTAACTCTTTAGCCCCTTCCATGAGACACTTAGGAAATACGTTCTTTTTCCAGTCTGCTTTTCCCAAGGTTTTCCATATGGGGTAAGACTGGGTCTTTGAGCCTATCATATAGTCACAGCATTTGGGCCACCTGCCCAGGAATGAAGGTGAAGGGTGGAAAGTGGCTGTCACCCCAGGCCTACTGTCCTGTTTCTTTCTCCTCAGCCACACGCAACTTGACCCCCCCATGGATGACAGCGACGTCCACATTAGCTCCCTGAGATCTGTGTGCTTCTCTCCTGAAGGCTTGTACCTCGCCACAGTGGCAGATGACAGGTAATGAAGAGAAATTCTGTGTGTGGCCTCAGAGCAAATCTCTGCCAGTCACTGTAGCATCACCCTCCAGGTCTGGCCCCAGGTCTACTAATGTGTGAACATTTCTTTTCTCTTTCTTGTCCAGACTCCTCAGGATCTGGGCCCTGGAACTGAAAACTCCAATTGCATTTGCTCCTATGACCAATGGTCTTTGCTGCACATTTTTTCCACATGGTGGAGTTATTGCCACAGGGTATGTGTCTGATAGCTGAACAGATGGAGAACAGTTTCTGCTGAGTGTACCATGTAGCTTTTTAAGGAAAGAATCTAGAATGTTCTTGCCTATGATGAAGGCTTTAAGGAAATCCAAGATGACATAAAATTCTAATATTCTTTTCTGCCATTATAGGCTGTCATTTACTCTTAGTATTTAATCTAAATGTAACTAAAAAACTGATTCGTGCCACTTAATGGGCCAAGTCACAAGGAGGCGTAAGTCGAGATGATGCAGAATCTCTGGAAAACCATTTAGGGAAAAAACCGCCTTATAGGGAGCATCTATAATTCAGGAGGCAGCACTCTTCCCTCTGATACATTGGAACTCACAATGTGATTGAGAAGGGGCCATTGCTCACAGATAGCACTTTGGTAACAAAGGTGTCTCGAGTTCTTATGATCCTCTCAATGGCCTTAATTATTCAGCATTACAGCCTTAACGTTGATTTCAACCATCAGGATTGCATTTAAGGGCTGCATTGCACTCCCTGGGTGTCTCCTGCTAATGCAAGTCAGAGTAGAAACAGTAATATCCATCACAGTGAAAACATGGATTTCTAAGGTCTGTCTTAAAGCGCTGGTTTCTGTTTGGTTTCAGGACAAGGGATGGCCACGTCCAGTTCTGGACAGCTCCTCGGGTCCTGTCCTCACTGAAGCACTTATGCCGAAAAGCCCTTCGAAGTTTCCTGACCACCTACCAAGTGCTAGCACTGCCGATCCCCAAGAAAATGAAAGAGTTCCTCACATACAGGACTTTTTAAGCCACGCGCCATAGTCTTGTTTTCTTGTAGCAAGATAAGCCTTCCTGGCAGAGGAGTAGCTGGAACGATGGGCCAAACGTCTGGTCTTGGATTGAAATAGAATTTCTCTTTGAGATAGTGAACAGAGTGTAGCAAAAGCAGATTTTGGTGGACTAGTCATCCGTTTCTCTCCGTGACCTGTGGGACTCAGCCACGGAGAGGATTCCACTTCCATGGCAGCAGAGCCTCACCTGAAATCCTCAGCCCACTTAGAGACGGCAGTATCCAACGCTTTTCCAGGTCATTTTGATTCAGAGCGCAGTTACTCCTGTTAATTTGATAAGCAGTGTAACCAGGCCTTGAGAGCCTCTCTGTAGTGGCAGATTATTCCCTCGACTGGCAAGTACTGGCAAAGTATGGCTTCTTCCTCATATATGTCACTATCACATCTAGGTGCAGTGGTGACATTGTTTAAAGTTCTCTCCTACTGTGTCAGAGTGGCTTTGATGTTGGCAAGTGCTTTCCTTCCTCTAGCTCCCTCTGACCAGCAGGACCAAGTTTTCGTGGAGCCGTCTGCTGTGAGGTATTAACTAAATTACAGGTGACTCAGAGGCCGTACTCCTGACTGATACACTATAAATGGCTTTTTTTTTTTTTTTTATAAACAGTGGTGTGCATGTGCAGGAGATGACAAATGTGTATGTCCGATTACACAAGGATGTGTTCCTAAACTGCATGACTGTTCAAATGGCTACTGAGTTGTCAGTGGTTTGCCATCTGTAGCATATTTATTTGTATTTTCTCAACAGATGTTAAGGTACAACTGTGTTTTCCTCCGTGGTATCTAAAAACCATAGTTCTTAAGTCGAACAGTTGTGAAGATGTCTCTTCTTCATTGTGTAGAGAATTGTTGTTACCCTTTTGGCTGATTTTCACGTACGGTCTGACTTGCTGCTTCACCTCAGCAGACTAATCAGCCAGTTTCAACTCTACCCCTTAACAAAAATAGCTCCTTGAAAGTACTGTTCTCCTCCAGTGGTGTGTAGTTATCGATCAAGACACCTCATTCAAATGAAATCTGCCTTTGGAAAATTTAATATATTTTAAATTATTTTAAAAGAAATGCAACATCTTATCCTTTGGCTTTCTTACTAGGTGCTTTATGAAGGCCAGTGTTAACATTATAAAACTTGTTGCAAAAGTACAAGAGTCTCCTCTACCACCTTTGTTGCTGAAGAAAAACATTTCTTTTCAAGATGAGAGGCTTTCATTGAAGGAAAAGTTAAAAAGCTCTTGGCTCACTGTTTCATTTTTCCACTAAGAAAAAAAAAATCACCTTTTAAAACAAGTGAGTACAACAGGACAGTGGGGAATGGCTTGGGCAAATTCTTAATTTTGTGGTTATCTTGAAATATCAGTGTAGTCTGAGAGGTTCTGGGTGGTTCCCCAGAGGTCCCACTTGGCCAGGGGCTTCAAACTTTGATATCTTTGGGGAGTGAGTTGTATGTGGATGATGGAAATAACCAACCTCTCCCTTTTGATAGTATAAGAACCTACCACCTTTATAAAGAACAGCCTCCTGAGTAAGCTGATTCTATGCTATCAGATGGGGGAGGCTTTTTCACATAAACGCAAGTTTAATAAAGTCCATGTCTTTATAACTGGTGAAGAAAAGAGTCACTTGTAAGACAGCCAACATGCCAGCTTCTTTATTTTTATTGAGAAGAACACTATCATAAAGGCAGTCTGTTTGCTATAAAATAAACTGCTACACTGGACACTGGGCCTACCCTTTCAGCACTTGGAGGTTTAGAGTCTGGCCCGAGCCCATCAGCCCTCCATACATCAACAAGGGAGTATTATACAGCCTTGCCCCCACGGCCATACAGTGACACTTCACTGTCCACACCACAATTAGGAACCTGCTAGCACTGGAGAAATTAAAAGACGTTTTTAAAGTAAGAGAACTGAGCACATTTATAAGAGCACAATAGTTTAGGCCAAAAATCTATTAATACCTATTTAGAACAGATACACTGTGACGCAGATTGAGGTTTATGCAGATTGAGGTTTATACGCTGAATTGTGGAGATGCTTTGTTTACCTGGAGTTAGTAGGCAATGGCACCATGGGGGGTTTGGAAGCCTTTTAAGTTCTAGACCAAAATAAGGGAGGGCAATTTCCTCCCATCCAAGCAACTGAATGGTTAAAAGCCTTAAGGCTTAACAACAACAACAAAAACCCACACACAACTTTTTGCACTTTCTTTTTCCCTGTAAAAAACACAAACAGGCAGCACAGTAAGACAGCTGTCTGTTCCAATGGTTTTGTACCTGCTCCAAATAGCCACAGACACGGTACTTTTTCAACCTTTGCCCGCCGGTGTCGGGGACAGAGGTTTCCACAATTCGGGGCGACTGGCTTCACTCTCCAGCCTGGGCAGCATATCATCCTGTGACTCAGTTTCCTGTTCTTCAGTCACCGCGGGGCCTGCGAACCGCAGTGAACAGGCTTCAGCCTCTAGGCCTCTGTAACAATCAGGTCCCTGGTGACCTGGAAAGCGGCAATGAGAGAGCTCAGCTGAATCTTCTCATTGGTGCCAACAGAAAGTCTGTATCTAAGAGAAAGCAAACGAAAGGTAAGAATATGGAATATTATGGACAGCTACCTTTTGACAACAGAATGATAAAGTTTGAAGGTGGAACAGTTTGCTAGAGAAAAGCAGGTAATAAAGCTTCATCCCAGACGGTCATCTTCAGTATGTCCCCTAACGTTTTCTTCTCATTTATATTCGATTCAAACTGGTAAGGGGAGGGCAGCCTGGGTGGCTCAAGCAGTTTAGCACAGCCTTCAGCCCAGGGCGTGACCCGGGATGGAGTCCTGCGTCAGGTTCCCTGCATGGAGCCTGCTTCTCCCTCTGCCTGTGTCTCTGCCTGCCTCTCTCTCTCTCTCTCTCTCTCTCTGTCTCTCATGAATAAATAAAATCTTTAAAAAAATGGTAAGGGGAAATTAAAAATTGATAGTTATCAATGACAGTGTTCTGAACTGAACTTCATGCTGGCTCTATAGACATACACAGAATTTACATGATAAGGATTTACTTCTTCACAAAATGCATTCAGAGAAATTGTTCCTCTTTTTAAAAAAAACATATATTTTTAAATTTATTCATGAGAAACACAGATAGATAGAGGGAGGAGCAGGCTCCCTTCAGGAAGCCTGATATGGGACTCGATCCCAGGACCCTGGGATCACACCCTTGAGCTGAAGGCAGACACTCAACCACTGAGCCACCCAGGCATCCCCATCTTGCCACCTTTCAAGTGCCTAGTCAGTGGAGGCAAAATCATGACACTCATCACATAGAAGTGGTGACCTAATGTGTGCATGTAAAGGCCAATGACAGCAAATTAGAGTTGATCCTCTGTTGGTGTCTGTTTCAAACCCAGTGCTCCTGTCCACCTAAATGCTAGCTGCCAGCTTCACTGGGACAAATACCTGCATTTATGGAACCAGGCAAAGTGGAAAACAGAATTTATGTTTACTCTCCCCCCAGTATGGTTTGCTATGCCAAAATGCTTTCATAACAGCTGGATGGCTGGTTGTCCCTGAATAACCGAGATGTAACAGCTGCGGGCCTCCCACAAGTGGCTCTTCTAGAACCAACATGGACTCTAAGCCTTTGAGGTGTAAGGAGAGGCCTTTATCTATAATATGTAACTGAGCTGAACCTGTCCTTGTATTTATTCATGTTCTTTAAGCAAATCCTACTGTTCCTGTTTCTTTCAGTGATCCCACCAAAAACTAGATTTGTACCACAGGGGATTGATGTAGACAAGCAAGTTGGAACCAACCAGGCAGAAAAAAAACCACACACAACAGGGTAAAAAAGGGAAAACAATAAAAATTGGGGAGTACTCACTCTATGTCTGCCATTTTGGTCAGTAAATGTACTCGAACTGATGATGGAAAGTCAACTAGGGAAAAACAAAACTGAGTGAACAAGGGTCTGCCATCCCCTACTACTAAAACAAAACCAAACACACAATTATGAACTTAAACAGCAGGAGACACTAAACTTGTCTAGAGGGGGATCCCTGGGTGGCGCAGCGGTTTGGGGCCTGCCTTTGGCCCAGGGCGCGATCCTGGAGACCCGGGATCGAATCCCATGTCGGGCTCCCAGTGCATGGAACCTGCTTCTCCCTCTGCCTGTGTCTCTGCCTCTCTCTCTCTCTCTCTCTGTGTGACTAAATAAAAAAAAAAATTAAAAAAAAAAAAAAACCTTGTCTAGAGGCCTGAGGTCACTAGGTGCCACACCTCTAAGGAAGTGATCGCTGCAGGAGTTTTCAGTTTTTACCTATTTCGTGAACAGGTTCCAAAGCAATCACAAGAACACAGGGAAGAGTCAACCACGCTGCTTTAGCAGCAGGGCAGGTTTTAAAAACAAATCCATCGATCTGTAAGTATTCATTTTCCACAATCAAAGCGCAGAGCTGGGCTTGAGCCGACCATGTTCTTGGGCAGCGATCAACCTGCTGCTTGGCCCTGGGGAGGCCCACAGAGGCACTGGCAGAACAAGCCATGGACCTGACTGTCGGCAGTTGGCTGTGGCGGAGGAAAGAGCCTGATGGAAGAGGCCTCAGAACAGACCACCCGGGAGAGCCTGAGGAAATCCTGATGCTTGCTTGGTTCCCCCCAAAAGGCCAAGTGATTGGTCTGGGATGACTACTATGTGCTGCCAAGGTGGAGAACCAGTTCTCTGTATGGTAGATACAGCCAAGTGTGCAACTTAAGATGGTTTAGTTAAGACTGCTCTGGTTTACATCGAAGATAGTTCCTTCTCTTTCTCTCCTTTTGAGGGAAAATACCTTTAGAAATGTACTATTTACTGCTGTAAAATTTAAACCCTTGGAGGAAATAAAGTCAGCCCTCTGGAGCTTCTTCCCCCAGGAGCTTTGGAGGTTAAGAGTAGTTTTGGAACAGAGTTTTAAATACTAAAGAAAATGGACTACAGGGCTATGGTTTATACTTCATTCTCGTCTCTTTGCTTCAAAAGTGAAGCCTCATGTTCCCTCCCTCCCACCCTTAACTCCACTCACCTCCTCTCCCATCTCAACTAGGGAAGAACGAGAGTTACCTCTGTGCACAAACAAGTGTATCTCTGTCAGGATATCATGTAGCGCCAAGCCCTTCAGCGTTTTCAACTCCATTATATCTAGAGGAACAGTTAAGGCAGAGGGCACAGGTTCCAGAACAAATACACAACATGGAATTCTGAACCCAGATTCCGGTGAGTGGGAAGGAGGGCTTTTAGCCCCACCCAACAGAGTGGTTTCTCTCAATCTGAAGTTGCATGAGGTGGACTCCACTTGTTACCTTTCCCATGTTTCCCATTTTCCACAAGGGCTTTCTGGCAGAACTGTGTCTCTGCCTAGTAGAGAACAGAGCCCACCCATTCCCCTGAAGGCGTCCTATCACTGCCCCTGGCTTTTAATTTCACAGCAAAACAAGAATAACACCTGCCACCCCAAGATCTGACTGCTGCTCTCCTCTGTGAGGAAGGTGGCTTCAAGCCAGACCTATGTCACACTCCTTCAGGAAGAACTTCAGGGCATTAAAGACAGGACCCACTCCACCCACAGACACCGTTCGTCCACAGCAAGCCGACCAGCCTCTGGAGCAGCCATGTCTGGCCAGCAGGGTGCAGGCACTGGCTGCACCCTGGGCTCCCAGGCCACACTTGGGCCTGAGAAACAGCACCTACTGTCAGCAGGACACAAGGAAGGATACTCCTGTAGGCTGTGGTGAAGTCTTGATTCAACATCCAGTCCAGAATGTTAGCAATGTCTGACTTGAGGGGGTGCCCGGTACAGGTGTAGACGGTTTCCTCTGTCACCTTCCCGAAGGCCATATTGGTGCTCTGTGCAAAGAGGGAGTATCGTGGCTGTCACGGCGGCCACCACGGTGCAGGCGGATCAGGAGGAAGCTGAGGCAGCACTGCACATGCGCAGTAAAGTGACTGGGCACAGGTCAGCTCGAACGCTGCACAGTTTACCTGGTAAGACTTGGCCTCAGCTGCAAGCACGAGAAGATGCTGCTGCTGTGTGCCAGCCAGCCAGAGTCCTGCCCTAGCTTTCCCTCACTGGCAGCACGTTATTCTTTCAATTATTTAAAACCCAAAGGTGGGGGGAGATTGTTGGTACATGATGAAATTGAGATCTTACCGCTCTCTAGATTTCTGAATTTGTAGGTTAGCTGTGCTGCTGCCTACCTATAACTCTTCCAAAGCAGCAGCTTGAGATCTGCTACGAGTAGTACTGTACCTGCAAAATGTTCAGAGCCCTCCGCATATCTCCGCTGGAAAGGGTCACAAGTGCTTTCATCCCGTCCTCACTTAGGTCCACTCTGAAAGGAAAGAGGCAGGAGGAATTCAGAGGCCCCGAGAGCACCAGCACTCACCCTGGGAACGAGATGCCCCCCAGAACAACGAAGGCTTCCAGTAACGAAAGAGAGGGGAGGGATGGAGTTCACAGGACTCTCCGGATCTACCGCTGGGGGCGGATCCAGAATTCACTTTGGCTTTTAGGGCTGTGGGCTTCACGTGAGCAGTCATGGCCACTGCAAGTCGGGAAAGGCCCTCACCCAGGACCAAGCACTGAGGACCAGGTGAGCAAGCGGCTTTGCATGCTGTTCTGCGAGGCCCGGCCCGGCGAGGCCCCGCGAGGCCCCGGTCACCGAGCCAGAGCGCCCCCTTTCAGAAAGCAGCAGCTCGGGCGGCCACTGGCGAGGCAGCTGAGTACACAGAAGGTAACGTCTCAGCACCTTCCCTTCTGGCCCGAAAAGGCTGGAGGCGTCTCGGCAGAAGGGGCGCTGGCAGCCTGCAGTCTCCAGTGACAAAAGAAGAGTAGGAGGAAATCGGGACAGCTTCCAGGGGGGAGGGTGGATCAGGAGCAGGGCCCAGGGCCTGCCTTTATGAAGGCTGCCCGGGGATGCCGGAGGGCGGCGGCGGCGGCGAGGGGGCTGCCCACCGACCCACCGACCCACCGACCCACGGACCGGGCGGCCCCCCTGGTTCCCTAGCCGCCCCCCCCCACCCCCCACCCCCCGCACGCAGCGCCTTCCGCTCCCGCCGCCGCCGCCGCTTGCTTCTCCTCACGGCTTCTCCCCACACGTACTTCTCCTCTCCTACGACGTGCTCCAGGCGGGGAACCATGAGCTCGGGGGTCAGGGGACCGAATCGGAACCTCGTACACCGGGACTGCAAGGCCGGGATGATCTTCGACAGGTAGTTACAGATGAGGCAGAACCGGGTGTTCTCGGTGAACTTCTCGATCACTGGCAAGGGAGAGGAGACGGCGCTGAGGGCTGAGGGCGGCGCGGGGCGCCGGAAGGGGCAGGGGCCGGCTCCTGGCGGAGCTGCGGCCCGCGCCACCGCCGCCACCGCCGCCGCCGCCTTAGGGGTGGTTCCTTAGAACGTGCCCCGATTCTGGATTCGGGCGTTCGTGCTGCGCTGTTCCATTAGGCCACGAACCCCGGGACCCCTGTCTTTGGCCTAGAATTCCATCTGGCAGGTTGACGAAGCGGCGGAGGGGTGGCTCTCCGCGGCCTTCCCAGGGGGCTGGGTCTCGAAGCCTCGGAAGCCCCGGGGCGCTGGGCGGAGGGATAACTCGAATTCATCTTTTTTTTTTTTTTTTTTTTTTTAATTTACGATAGTCATACAGAGAGAGCGAGAGAGGCAGAGACACAGGCAGAGGGAGAAGCAGGCTCCGTGCACCGGGAGCCCGACGTGGGACTCGATCCCGGGTCTCCAGGATGCGCCCTGGGCCAAAGGCAGGCGCTAAACCGCTGCGCCACCCAGGGATCCCGATAACTCGAATTCAGAAAGCTTACGGAGCACCGGGTTCGCTCCGCAGTTACCCGACGTTCTTGCTCGGGGATCTGCCCAGACCTTCTGCAGAACAAATGCTGAAGAAAGGCTGCCAAAGCTTTTAAGATCAGAAGATACTCTAACTGTCCTCCCCCTCCTCTTAAACCTGGCCTGCACTCCACTGTCTCGCCAGACTCCGAAAGATCACTCCGCTCTCCTAGCTCATTACCTCTGAATCTTAATGCGAGAGGTGACCGATGTCCTTTCACAGAAATCCCCTGCACCAGATCCCTGAAGACAGACAACTCACATGATACTCCCTCGGCAAACAGAGACGCCATGTCAGCTCTGAGTGCTACCCCATTTCCTGGATTATTTTCCCGGCTACTGTGTGTCTCCGGGTACCAAGAGCAGAAGGGTCTACCCAGCAGCCCCTTAGGAACCACGGGCTTTCCCTACCCCATCCTCTCCCTCACCTAAGAATACAAATTCCCAGCCCCAAATTGAACCCCGTGGAAGAGGAGGATGGGACACCAGTGTCTGGTCAGACTTAAAAGTCCCATCAGGTGAGGCCCTTATCTTTAAGCTGCTGAAAGAGGGAAACCCCAACATTAGAGATTTGGTCTAGATTGACAGCAAAGGTCAACCGATTTCTCTGGGCCGGAAGATAAATGAAAACTGTCAACCATCCATGCTGTTATCTCACATCCAAAGTTCCTAATTCTCTTTCGAATGCACTTAGGAGCCAACAAACTACATCTGGGAGCTCTTCTTACCTCTCCTCAAGGCATTCTGGGCGTCTTGAGTCATGGCGTCAGCTTCATCCAGGATCACTAGTTTGAAGCCTTTCCTAGGAAAACAAATGGTACCATCTGCATATCTCTTCGACCTCATCTCAACTTCCAGGCCCAACCTACATTAGTGCCACGAGGCCCTGCTGGGACAGTCCCTTCCTCCTTGACCTCGGAGCGAAGCAGACATCTGTGCTCACACAGGGGACACGCCCATTACTCTCAGCTCTTTTTTTTTTTTCCAAAAATTTTTTTTAAATTTTTATTTATTTATGATAGTCAGAGAGAGAGAGAGAGAGGCAGAGACACAGGCAGAGGGAGAAGCAGGCTCCATGCACCAGGAGCCTGATGTGGGATTCGATCCCGGGTCTCCAGGATCGGGCCCTGGGCCAAAGGCAGGCGCCAAACCGCTGCGCCACCCAGGGATCCCCTACTCTCAGCTCTTAAAGGAACTAAGGTCTGACCTCTGCATGTTTGCTGCATTGTTTCCTCTGGCAAATGCACCTTTGTTCTGCGCACGCAACGTATCCTGCTACTCAGGCGCCTTGCTTTTTTCTATCACCTTCACCCTTCACTCATGCCTGTCTTTTCACCTTTTCCTTTGTTTACCATCATCCCGGTTATCCATCCTGATGTCAGTTCATTTTGGTTTAAATTCAAACCACCTCATCCGGTCTCAGGATGTTATCAGTCTTCAGGTAACTAAAAAAATGAAGTTAATGCTTCCCAAAGAATGTGCTGATATATATATATATATATATATATAGACTTACATAATATTTTGATACTTGCATTCTTTCCTACTCCTGTCCTTGTACTTTCTTTCTGATGCCTACTTTTTACAAAGTCATTTTTAACCTTTACAGACTGGCAAAGGGAAGGATTGAAAAACTAAACTCTGTCATCCCACTGATCAAAATCTCCAGGGAGAGAAATTATGCCAATAATTCTTACTTAAATATTGTCCTTGTGCTAGCGAAGCTCAGGATTGGTCCCCGAACAATATCTATTCCTCGGTCGTCTGAAGCGTTCAGCTAAATGTGGGAGAGAGAAGTCGGAGTAAATTAGAAATATGCTGGTGTGCTACCTATGAATTAATTCATCTCTTTATCAGTCCCACTAGGCAGGCTAGGTCTAGGTCTCTCAGTCTAACAGCCAAGAGATAAACACCTATTAAAAAACCAAGATCACAATTGTATTTAAAACTCACAACTCACTAGATCGTTACATTACATTCTGAAAGGCAAATGAATGTGTTTCCTTCCCCTTTCAAAGACAATCATTGACATACTCTGGAGGAATAATTAATTGGCCTGGTCACAGTGAAGAGCACCTCTGGCATGAGCAGAATCATGCTAATTTTAGCTACCACAACCCAGAGTGATCCGGAAGTTACCAAGTCTTTTTTTTTTTTTTTTAATTTATTTATTTTTATGACAGTCACAGAGAGAGAGAGAGACGCAGAGACACAGGCAGAGGGAGAAGCAGGCTCCATGCACCGGGAGCCTGACGTGGGATTCGATCCCGCGTCTCCAGGATCGCGCCCTGGGCCAAAGACCGGCGCTAAACCACTGCGCTACCCAGGGATCCCCCAAGTCTATTTAATACATTGAGGTAAGAATACTGGTGGCAGCCAGGTTCTAAGATCTATAACAAAAAAAAAATAAGTTAAACATTTTTTTCCCCCGGCAATAGATGATATTTAGAATTTTGTAAATCTAAGTGTATCAGTCAAATCTCAGAGGCAAACAGATGGCATACTCAAATTCAGTGATTTGAAGAGAATTACATGAAGCAGTATTTTAAAAGGTGTTGGTGGGGTGTGGGGAAACCGCAAGGGCTTTGCGATACCTCTGCAACGACTAGGGCCCATTACCGACCGACCCCAGGTCTTAGGTGAGTGGGGGAGCGGTGTGGGCACCTAGAGAAGGCTATGTGGATTTGCCCTGCAGGTGGGGATGCTGTCAGCCTGTGGTGACCAAGACAGGACGAGGCATCCTTCCTCTTCCCCTAACTCCTGTCAGGGCCCCTACTGGCCAAACCTAACCAGGAGCCAAAGAACAAGGCAGCCTGTAGTCAATACAGCGCAGCCTTCCAGGGCAAGAACAGGGTGGAGCCATGTGGAGGAGAAATCTGGACAGGGACATGGGAGACAGCAAGCTACTTAGCAACCACTCACTGAGTGACCACTGAGTGCTTGAGTATGAGTTGGCAAAGGCAAAGAAAAATACCTAGCCCTACAACTGCCCTCTAGCTGATGCCAACCAAGACCAAAATGTCTATTCTAGATAAAAAGTGACTGGAAATATTCTAGGTCTGTTCCTTTCCCCCACCTCCAGTATAGCAACTTAACTTGTAAAGTAAATCGAAGAGTACTAAAAGTAAGAGACTCGAGTTCTTTGCTGAGTAAGAATAATCCTCCTGTTTACCTCCAAGACCATGGAGCCAAATTCCTTATCTTTGTATAGCTGTTTTGCACAGGCCAGGATGGTGGAAGTCTTTCCTGTCCCTGGAGGACCATAGAGGAGCAGGTGGGGCAAACGGTCTTCACTGATAAATTTTTGAACTGAGGAAGAATGAGAGAGGCCATCAGTTTCAAGAGTTACCTGATTTACCTTGGGCCCTTGGGGTTGGCCTGAATGCACTTCAATCCCATGTTCAAATCAGAGACAGATGCAGGAAAGAAAAATCCGAAGGACCTAGCTCACAGAGCAACATTCCATACAGCTCAGTCAGATACTTCGAGGTTATTACTCAGCAGAGACATAACCAAGAAATTTATACAAGTCTTCCAACTAGAATGACAGCAACTGACACATGGATGCTTACTGGTACTCAAAATGTCCTGATGAGAAATCAGATCATTCAGTGTCTGCGGCCGGTATTTTTCAACCCTGAAAGACAATTTAGCAGGGATTACAATATATACCAATGCAAGAACACACTGTAATGTGCAAAAGAATCCTTTCCTACTCTAATGAAAAGAGGAAGAGAAACAAAATCCTCTAAGTTTGAATACAGACCATTGGTTCTCAACCAGAGGTAATTCTGTCCTCCAGGAAACACTCAGTGATATCTGGAGACATTTTCAGCTGTCACAATTGGGTGGAGGTGCTATAGGCCTCCAGTGGATAGGCACCAGGGATGTCACTAAACCCTACAATGCACAGGACAGTCACCATGCCCGCCTCCACCAAGCGTCTAGCCCAAAATGCCAATAGTGCTGCTCTAATTTTACTTTCCCAGCTGTCTGCCTATAAATAATCTCAACCTGGATGGGCACCTATTATTTCAAAATAAATTAAAAACTGAACTCATTGGGGCTCCTGGGTGTCTCAGTCGGTTAACCATCTGCCTTCAGCTCAGGTCCTGATCTCAGGGTCCTAGGATCCCACTCTGCATCAGGCTCCTTGCTCAGCAGGGAGTCTGCTTTTCACTCGCCCTCTGCTCCTCCCCCACACTCGCGTTCTCAAGTAAATAAGATCTTTGTTAAAAAAAATTGAACTCGTACCCAACTATACATCAAAAGATGAATGGATAAATAAATGGTGGTCTATCCATACAATGGAATATTATTTACCCATAAAAAGCAATGAAGCCATGACACCTGCAACAGTACAGGTGGACCCAGAAAACATGATGCTGTGAAAGCAGCCCAGTCACAAAAGGCCACATACTGATTCTATCATGTAAATATCCATGGTAGTCACTCCAGAGGCAGAAAGCAGATTAACGGTTGCAGCAAGTGGAGTCGGGGGGTGAGGGGGGAGATGGCGAATAACTGCCAATAGGTGTGAAGTTTCCATTTGGGGTAAAATGAAAAATTTTGGAACTAGACAGTGACCTGGTAGCACCACATTCTCAATGTACTTAAAGTCATTGAATTACACGCTTTACAATGTTTACAACTGTAAATTGTATGTTATGTGTTCTTTCCATGAGAAAAGCAAGCTGAACTCAAGAGACAAGGCCGACCAACTTGGAGCTTTCACAAGAACTCAAGCTGAATCCCATCAGTTTCTAAAACACCATCCAGATGCAGCCGTGGAAGTAGGATGCTCAAGAGGGCAAGCTCTGATTTCACCTGGATGCAAATCCCAACCTATTTTCCTGCTCTGGACCTCAGGCAAGTCATTTAACCTTTTTGTTTTACAACGGGAATAACGACCTACCTCCTAGGGTGTTTGTAAAGATCAAGCATCTAACAGGGTCCCTGCCAATCTAACGGGAAGCCATTTAAATACAACTCCACTGGGGAGCATTATTATGACCGTTGTCCTTTCAGTAGAGAATTTGAGCAACATTGCCTGAGGATTCCGGCAAGAGTGGCCGATGCAAAGTCAGAAGAGGAGGGATTGAAACCTCTACGCTGTCACCCAGTGAATACCAGGAATGGGGGCGGTGGGGGTGGGGCAGCGGGAAGACCTGGAAAAGGCCTAAAAGAACGGAGGGCGCTGGGGCGCTGGGGGTGTCAAGGCGAAATTCTGGGGCTCCGGCCGGCCGCAGGTCGGGGGCGGTCGGGCGAGGTCACCGGTCCCCTTTCCCGCGGCTGCCGGGCCTCCTCCTACCAGGGCAGGTTTCTGATCTTGGCCGCCGCGGGCTGCTGCTGCTCCTGCTGCGCTGAGGTCTCCATGGCGCGGTGAGAGAGGCGTCCGGGTGCGCCGGCGTCGTCGCGGCCCCCGCGGACCTGCACAGCTACCAGCCGCGAGCCGACCCCGGCCGGGACCCCGGCTCTTAGAGTTCGCGCGCAAAAGCAACTCTCGCGAGATGTAGCCTCCTGCTTCCGACTTCCTGCCTGGGTCCCGCCCCCTCTCTGTTGCCAAGGGGTCGGTTACCAGGTTACCGGGAGGCGCCGGCCGCACGCCTCCCTCCGGGTCCGCCCTTCCAGCCCCCGCTGCCCCCCTGCGCGCGCGACGGAGCTTCCCGGGCCCCGGGAGCCCAGGAAGCTGGGGAGGCGAGGCCACCCTCTGCAGCCGCCAGTCGTCCTTACAAACTAAGTATCACGGCCAGAGCCAATTCCAGCTACCAGCAAAGTTCAAACCCTCACCGTTCAGAGGAACAGAGAGCGTCCAGCCCTAAAAAACAAAAGACAAACAAACCCGAGGATCAAACAACCGCGATTCCCTAGGAAAAAAGACTCCAAAAAACCTTTTGGCCCCAAAGCTGGGAGGTGAGTACTTCGAATTGATGAACAACTCCAAACACACACAACTCCAATTTACCTCCCAAATCCATGCCCCTCGCCCAACAAGATCTAGAGAACCAAGTTCCGGAAGCAACCCCAGTGAAAAACAAAAAATAAACTTCCAGTTAGGTTAATGTGTGTGACTGGAAAGCGCTGGTTACCAAACATGGAGGACAGGGACCCTGCGATCTGAAGATAGGAGAACCAGTATTGAAATTTTTTCTGCAATGAGGTGATTATGGAGCACTCTTATTTTCTTCTATTTTGCTGATCTGTATTTCCCAGCAATATGTAGTACATATTACAGATCACATGCTTTATCCATAATAAAGTTGTTTGTTGTTATTTTTTTAACATGTTGAGAAGGACATGAGGAAGAGAAGGGAGAAGACTTGAGGCTGGCCTGAGTCAGGAGTGTACTGATGCAGAAGTAGCTACTCCTAGGCCACCTGGGTGGCTCAGCCAGTTAAGCATCATCTGCTTTCACCTCAGGTCGTGATACCAGGGTCCTGATAATTGAGCCCTGCGTCATTTACCTGCTCATCAGGGAGTCTGCTTTTCCTTCTCCCTTAAATTAAAAAAAAAAATTTTTTTTTAAGTAGCTGCTCCTTGCATCTTATTACATCACTGGCACCTGCCCCAGGAACAGAGTAGAGGGACAGTTGGGCAAATACATGATGGTGACTATGCTTCACACTAGCCCCTGCCTATAGATTCAGAAGAAGGGGGGGTTCAAATGTGGTTTGTAGTATGACTGTGGCTAACTCTAACTCTGGTTGTTTAGGTCCTTAGTGTGCCACTTTGCCCCTTAGCTTTGGGCAGCTTGCCTCTCTCCTAGTCCAATAACCTCTACTCCAAAGGTGTCTCGAGAATCAAGTAACACATGTGTGGCATCTGGTACATGGCCACTTTACTCTCTTCTTCCCTTCTAGCACTTTCCACCCACCCTGTTTGTGTTTCAAATGTTTCCTCTCAAGCAAAAACCTACTCAAGAATTGGCTAGTGTGACGATGCCCACCAGGGTCGGTTTTATGTGTTGACGTGACTGGACTCTGGACGCCCAGGAAGCTGGTAAAATATTTGGAGGCTGTGTCTCTGAGGGTGTTTCTGAAAGAATCTGGCATTTGAATCAGTGGCCTGAGTAAAGATTATCTCACCAGTTCAGGGGGAATCAAAATCCACTGAGGGGCTGAATAGAAGGGAAAGGCAGAGCAAGGGTGAATTTGCTCTTTTTGAGCTGGGATATCCATCTTCTGTTGCCCTCAGGCATCAGCACTCTTGATTCTCAGGCCTTTGGGTTCAGACTGAATGACACCGCTTGGCTCTCCTGAGTCTTCAGTTTGCAGACAGCAGGTCTTGGGACCTCTTGGCCTCCCACATCATGTCAGCCAATTCTTAGGATATAAAGAAGATGAATATATATGTGAATATAAAATGAATATATATGAATATAAAAATATAAAATATTTTAAAATACAAAATATAATATGAATTATGTTATTGATGTAATATATAAAACTAAATCATATATCATATAATATATAATGTAAAAATATTTTAAAGCCTACATAAATACAAATATAATTGACATATAGATAGCCATTCTGCTAAGGGGCCTTTGCAATAGAAAGAAACATACCACTACCTCCTTGAGCTGGAAGATATGAGTGAGACTGAACAAAGTTCTTGTAAAACTCTGTGTGCACCTGCTGTTCAGTCAGCTTGGGATGTAGAATTCTTCTGTGTGACATATTTTATATTTACAAGGTCATGTATTGTGTGCCTCCCCAATGGATTGTAAGCTCACTGGGAGGCAAGGCTTTGACTTATTCACCTCTGTGCACCTGGTGCCTGGAACAGTGCCTGGCTCAAAGGAAACAGTTAATAATTGTTCCATGAATAAATAAATGAATGAATGATAATAGCTAATATTCATTAGGCAGTTATGATGGGCCAGACACTATTCTAAGTGCTTTGCTTTACATTTATTATACTCACTCAGTTGTCAAGATAAGCCTAAGCCACTGTCATTAATCCCATTTCATAGACATGTTAGGTCACTTGCCCAAAAATTTAGTAGGTTTTGTGACTTGATGTAAGGGGTACAACCGGATCTTTTGTGTGATCCTATAGCCCAGACTGATAGCCACTAAGCTAGTGTGGTCCCTGGCCTAGCAGCAGCAGCTGTATCCCCTGGGAACTTGTTAGAAATGTTAATTATTCTTCTCCTCACCCCAAACCCACTGAATCTGAAACTCTGGGGGTGGGCCCAGCCATCTGTGCTGTAACAGGCCCTCCAGGGGATTCTGATGCACTCAAGTTTGAGAACCAAGGCCCTACCCTCTACTGTTTCTCAGTCCTTGAGCTCTACTGTTTCTCAGTCCTTGAGGTCCCCATCACTTCACTTTCTAAGAATGAGAATGGGTGCTCACATGCATACTCTGGAAAAACAGAGGTGTCCATTTAATGTGTGTGTGTATGGTTTTGTTTGTTTCTGTTATTAATTGAATTAATCGGAGGTATAGTCCTTTGGGCAAGTTACTTAATACGTCTTTGGACCTCAGTATTGGCATTTGTAAAATGGGCATGGGTAGGAGGTTGGCCTAGACTGAGAGATGACATTAAGAGCACCTGAGGATTTTACAAAATTCCAATACCTGAGATCCAGTCTGACCCATTAAACTTGGCCTCTGGGAGTGGGACCAAGCCTTGGCAGTTTAAAAAAGCTTCCCAGGTGATGAGAATCAACCCAAGTCGAACTAGGGCCCATCCTGAGCCAATCACAGCAATCCTAGTCCCCTGATTTGCATAAAGGTGAGCATGTGACCCAGTTCTGCCCAATGAAATGGAAGGGGAGGAGGGGGCGGGGCCTCTGGGAAACTTCTTCGTATGAACTTTGTGGATGCTTGTTTTGAGTGGTCTTTCGCCTTTCTCCCAGGAGAAAGATTTTGTCACTTTAAAGAGAAAGAGGTAAGAAACCAAAATTACAAGCTCACCTGAGTCTAAGCAGCCTGGGAGTTAGTATCTAAAGCAAGAGGGATGGGTGGAAGATTTAAGCAGAAAAGGAATGCTATAACAAAATATTGGCTGGCTCACTATCCATCAGAAGGCTGGAGACCCCGACTTGGAAAATGGGACAAAGACAGGCCAAGGAACTGAAACCATAGTCCAAATTACACCATGGAACCAACCAGTAAGGAAAGTGTAGCTGCTTCTGACCGTCAGAGGCCCCTGCCCCCTCGCTGCCCCTGGAAACTGGATGTTGCTTTCACCATTTCCACTGTCGGAAAGAATTCACCCATTCCTTCCCTGGATGCTAACTGAAACTAGCACCCCATTTCGAGTCTGGGAAGATATACCTGCTTGTCCAGGCTGGGGCTGCATGCTAGCAAGTCCCTGATACAGAGCTTGAATGGCAAGGACTAATGTCTGCCTCCCACCAAGACTTGTGAACTAAGGACATTCTTGAATATAGGAGAGGGGTCAGATGCTGGCGACAAAGGATCACAAACATCCACTTTGCCAGTATCCAGCTATGAGGGATGGCTGCCAAATGTTGCCAGAATTTAGGATTTTTTATTTTATTTTATTTTTTTTCAGAATTTAGGGTTTTTAAAGGCAAATCATAAATTTAGATTTTTTTCTGTGAAATTACTGTATGTTATTTTTAAAGATTTTATTTATTTATTCATGAGAGACACAGAGAGAGAGAGAGAGAGAGGCAGAGACACAGGCAGAGGGAGAAGCAGGCTCCATGCAGGGAGACCGACAGGGGGCTCAATCCGGGGTCTCCAGGATCACACCCCAGGCTGCAGGCAGCACTAAACCGCTGCACTGCCAGGGCTGCCCCTACTGTATGTTAAATATTGACAACTAATTAAAAAAAAAATCTGGTCAGGAACAAATGTTGGATCACTTTGTGACTTTTTCTTTCTCAAGTACAGATGACCAGGCAAAAGATGGAATTATCCCTTCTTACCCTCTGCCTAGATTAAGGGTAAGAATCTGGGCAAGAATCTGGGGGAATTAAGGGTAAATCAAGCTGGTATCTCCATGCGAATTGTGACATTCATGAGCATAGGCACAAACTTTTCTTATGTAATCAGAACCAGATTTGGAAATGCTTTAATAAAACAGCAGGTCCTAGAGATGGCAGGATCAGAAGTTACAAACATAATTACCAACGAAAGACATTTGCTCTTAAATTGAATTAGGGAAAGGGAGCCCTGGATTTTATTACTCTCAGCTTTGGAACAAACTTGGCTTTAGACACAGCACTTACTGCCTTAGTTTATTTTTAAGATTTGTTCTTATGAGAGAAAGGGATGCGAGGCTATCTTTGGAAGATGCTGGCAGAAGAAAATCAAAGTGGGTCTTTCTCCTGAGCATGTTTATACTGGTGAAATCATGTTTAAATGAAGAACAAGGGCTTGAAGAAGGAAAAAAAAATCCCAAAGGGCAATTTGAAGAGTTTGTGTAGAGGAAGGGCCATCTTCTTTGGTGACCACAGCAAAATCAAAGACTGATAAGGGACATAAATCCTTGGGGACATGTTTCCCCTTCA